GTGTCACTCCTTCCTCGGGGCGCTTTCCGCCTCTGCGGGGTAGGAAATCCTCTTCTGGACTCGAAATTGCAACAGATTCTCAGATAACGTTCTGCCTTTAAAGACGTGCAGCTGCTCCAGTCCCAGCCCTCCGCTAGCCCCGAGATGACACGCCCGCCCACCTGCCACCTAGGTATCTACCCAGCCTCTGAGCTCCGTCTGGCGGGTGCCGCCTTGGGTGGTCGCTGTGCCAGGCGGCAGTTGTCCTCCAGGCTGTGCCGGGGAGACAGATGCATTTCCACAGGGCCCCTGGCACGGTGCTTTCTGAGCCTTGAGTAAGCATAGCTGGAGGTTGGGGAGGGGCTGCGTCCGGTCAAGGTCCTCCCTGGGCAAGGGTGCTAATAGCCTGGTGACCTCACTCGGGACAGATATAAATGAGCAGTCGGTCTTCTGGATTGGCTGGAGGTTGTCTAAGGACCACCTGGGCTGTGCGGAGGCGCAGGCTGTTAGGTTAGCAGTGTGCCTGAAATGCAGGCCTGGGGGCCCAAGTGCTTGTGGTTGTGATATTGGTGTTGAGGTTTTTCCCCAGCTGTTTATTCCTGTCAGGAGTCTGTCTGCCTTTCCAGAGCCAACAGAAGCCCTGGAAGGTGGTTTTTCTTATTTCTGTGTATGTTTGCTGTGACTTCCAGGCAATTGCAGGGGGCAAAAATGGGCAAAAAACTGTCTATTATTTGGCAGATGTAGCTGTTTACCTTACTTGAGGGCAAGGGTTCCATCTTCACTTTCTTGCCCTAGCACATAGTAGCCACCTTGAAATATTGACTTAATGGCCTTAAGAAGTGTGCAGGTTCTTTTCTTTTTAAAGGATACAGGCTGGGAGAAACAAACTCAGGTAAGAAAAGATCAAAAAATCCCTCAAAGGTTTTACAGTTACCATTTCTGGCCGGTGGTACTACTCCCACATGCACTTCCTTTTATGCTGAAGGTTGGTCCTCATCTAATCTTCTCAGCCCTCAGATAAAGCTGTAGGTGAAGCACTTATCTAGTTACGAGTAGTCTGTTTAGAAGCAGACCATGTCTCATTCGTCTTTGCCTGGCAGGGAATAGGCCAGAGGTTCTCCCTGAATGGTTGTTGAAATGAACCATGGTGCAGTGGTTTTTTGTCGGGGTGAAGGATGACCTTCAGAGGATACAGAGGTAATCTAGTAATCTAGGCAGGCTTTTCATAACAATAACAAAATTCACCCCCTGAATTTGCAAGTTCCCCTGCAGGTGGGCCCCACTAGCTACCACTGACCACAGCTGCCAGGACTGTCCAGCAGGCCAGGTGACCTTGGGCACACTGTATTGCTCCTAATTCTCATTACCGTCTGAGCCAACCTCAGAAAATATGTTTAAGTGTTTGCTTTTAGATGGTTTCTGGTTTAAAGTGAAGAAGGACAATGAAGCAGGTTATAAAAAAGCACTTAACATTTACCCTGTTCAGAGTTTGACCTGTTTGAGCATACCTTCTCTGTTGTGACAACTCTGTACAGGGAAGAAAGATGCCCTTTTCAACTCGAAGCAGCAGTTTCAGTGGCTGTTTCAAGTGTCACTTTCCAAATGCAGATAACATCAAAGAAACACCACCTTATAAGACCAGTAATCAACTTGAATTCATGATTTGTTGAGTTTCATTATTCTCTCAATATACATTTATCCAAATCATACTTCACACGATGCCCTGTGTTCTGTGGCTACAAAACTGAGTGCACCTCTGCCCTTGAGGAGCTTACTGTGCGGTGGGGAGATGGGCCCATGAACTTCACTGTGGTAGGTGCACCTGTAGAAATGGACAGAGCTTGACATGAGCTCAGAGGAGTAGAATCCAGCTGGCCTCTAGTGGGGGCTCCTGAGAAGGGCTTGAGTTAAATTTTGAAGATTGAACGGGAGTGGCAAGACCATGTGAGGGAGACTTCCAGGCAAAGGGACAGTGTGTGAAGTATGGGGCACACCCTCCCACGGGCTGCTGGGAGAAGGGCAGAGGATAGCTCCAGTGGTTGGGGTGAAGAGAGGGAGATGAAGTTAAGGAGCTAGGCTGGCGGCAGATCAGGAAGGCTTTGAGTACCAGGCCTGAACTTAAATTTTACCCTGATAGCTGTGGTGGGCCCACTAAAGGATCTTGGGTTTGTGAGTGACTGGTTAGATTGTGCTCTCATGGGTGACCACGCAGTTGTGGCCAGAATGGGCTGCTGAAGGGCTGCCCTGGGTAAAGGGTGCCTAACGGGACACTGTAACACACCTACCAAGACAAAAAGCCCAGTACCGAGGAAGGGCAGTGGGGATCAAAAAGAGAGCAAGACCAGGAGACAATTGGCTGTGGGGATGGGAAGGGCTAGGGATAAAGGAGGACTTAGAGAACACTCCAAGACTGGCTTACTGGCAGCTGGTAGGGCCATGCCACACACAATATGCAGGAAGGGAGCAGGCCTGGGAATGGATGATGACTTTGAATACAGGGATGTTGAGCTGAGGGTGGATAAGACTTCCTGGGTATATGTTGATCTGGAGCCAAGGAGAGCAAACGGGGTTCAAAAGCATTCTGGGCACTTGTTCCTGTGTGGCACTGAAGCCAGAGAGTAGAGTGGGAGAGTGTACGGAATGAGGAAAAGAATACCGAACCCTAGAGGTACCTAATGTTTTATGTCTGTAAAACACAGAGGAAATAAAGTAACAAAACTGATTAATAAGCTCTTGCCTTTGTGGAACATGGAGGCAGAATAGTGGGTTTTTCATTTCTGTCACAGAGCCCTAGTTTGTTGGTTAAACAGCAAAATGGAAAATACTAAAGTTACAAAATCACACAATTGATTCCAGAGGCCTTCCTGTCTTGTATGTTTATTTGCCTTTTGGGAAGCTTCCAGATTGTCACTCATCTCAAAGGACCACCTTCCCCTCCAGACAGAGGGTTGGTGCTCTCAGACCTTTCTCGCAATTAGATCTCCGAAATAAAACCTTCTGAGACATAGAGACAGATCCGAGGTTGCAGAGTTCTCTGGGTCCTCTTGCTCTCCTTCCAGGACTCCAGTTTCTGTGTAATAGATCAGCATTAGCAGCAGGTGGGAAAAATTCTTGGGGATACAGAGGCCAGGAGCGTAGTGCCCCCTCCCCAGTCTTTCTCCCACAGTGAGGGGCACACAGGAGAGGCTGAGGAAAGGCTCATGTTGCAAAAGGAGTCTCTGCCCACAAGGCAGTGCATGGCCCTGCAGGCCTGTGCCAACCTCTGGATAAGTGCTGTTTGTTAGCAGTTACCTTTGTCTCTTATGGAACCTACTCACTTGGAGCATGTGAGACAGGATCTCCTTCTGTCTTGTGCAGTTAAATTCCCCCACCTGGCCATGGGACCTTATCTGTCTCAGCCAGGTATTGCCCAGGGCTCTGCTGGCAGGGGTCACATGTGAGCCATTGAGGTTTCTCCCTCCGTCCCGCCCAGACTGCGCTCTCCCTTTACAGGTGATTGAGAAGGCACTACACGTGGCTTGGCCTGTTTCCCATAATCTGAAACTGTGTGTTTGCCTAATTGTTACACAATTTTAATTGGATACCACACAGACTAAGGGTTGTTGTTTACCTATAGGTGATTCTGTTACCAATAAAAGCTCTTCTGCTGTGTAGTGTGCTAAATGTATTCATTACCTGTGTCCCCACCAAAAGTTTCCCTGGTTTCTGCCCCTTCAGCCTTTCCTTGTGTCAGTTTGCCATCACTCCCTGATAATCTTCTGTAATTCCTTTTTCCTCAAGGATTGTTCCAGCCTTCATAACTTGGTTAACCTGTGGGCCTTAGAAAGATCCCATGTATACATTAACTCCACCTGCCTCTGATTTCTTTCCCTGCCTTCCTGGACTGTCCCCTCCCCACCTCCCAGCCCACAAGAGCATTCTCCTTCCTCAGTGGCCCCGTGAACCCCAGGACTCTGTCTTGGACCCTTTGGCTTCTTGGAGCCCATGAAGCTGGACTGTAGAGCTGCCTTTGACTCTGCACCATGAATGACCCGCACCGGCCTGCCTGCTTAAAGAGCTGAAGGGCTCCCCAGCCCCAAGTGGCCGTGCTCTCCAAGACCTGTCCTGTGCCCACACTGTTTCTGCTGCTTCCTAGGCAAAGGCCTTCTCAGTGTTCAGGATTTAACTGAGGCAGGTGCTGGCTTAGGGAGGCTTTCCAGGCCCCTCTTTCCTCACAGGCTGGGCACCCGACACCCTGTGCTTTTCTCTCATAGCATCTGCATCTGAGTTGGCATGGTCAGTACACCCGTGTCCCCACATCCAGAAGCTCATTGAGAGCTAGGGCTAGGCTTTACATCTTTGTATTCCAGCACTTGATGCACTGGCATTCAGGAAGTGTATCAAATGCCAATTAAAATGATTAAACCTGAAAGATTCCCTCCCATCCCAGCTCTGTTGTCAGGTCTGAAGATACCTGACTAGAGCCTGCTATGTGCCCGGCCTTCCAAGGCACACCTGTCACAGGCACTTTGCTTGGAATTCAGACCAGTCAAGATTCTAGCTTCCGACAGCTGGGTTCTCTTCCTCTGCTTCTCGTTCCATGCAGCTAGCTGATTTCTCCTGTGCCCTTTGTGGTGGTTTCCCCAGACTTACTGCTGAGCTCAGAAGATAAATACCCCAGGTTAGCAGAGCCCCATTCCAACCCCAGCCCCTGCCTATGGGTAGACCAGACCTGGCTGGGAAAAAGGTTTTCTGCCCAAGAATGGGACTCAGGGAACCTTTTTGAATGGCTGATAAGGTTAGGAATCTGCCCTGCTCAGGTCCCACCCATAGGCTCAGGTGCCCTGGTAAAACCTGCATTTGAACTTGTGGCCAGTGGCAGCAGTTGGCCAACCAACTGGCCTGAGGTGCTGTGACTAACACCTCCTTAATAGTTCCACCCCTTTATACCTGGCACGTGCCCTCCATTGTGTGCCATCAGCAAAGGGCCTACTATCAAATTCCCCGTTCTCTGGCAGCCTGGTAGTCACTGTTGGAATGCCAGTCACCAGCAGTATTTGAAAAATCCCTTTGCTCTGCCTTCTCATCGTGTGAAGATGTCTGCTGGGAAGATCACACCCCTAGAACAACTTGGCGAATATTCCCTGTTGTTATTATTTAGAATTAAATTTTTCTCTTGGGCCTGGGTGGCTTGGGATTTTCCTGAGTCTCCATCTGTTTCGTTCTTTCATTTCCACCTTCCTGGTGTGAGACACCAGGGCTCAAAAGCCACAGTACAGTAGAACAGCTGGACTCATTGCAGACCATCACCACAGTGTGCCAAGTTGAAACCAATTTGAATGAGGAGAGGTGGTGTGCAGGGATGCCAACCTCAGCCCTGCCTGGGATATCGGAAGGGCTGGAAGGGCTGGTGAAGGAGAGGGCATTTGGGCCAAGGCTTGAAGCCAATTGGCCTGAGGGGAGAAAGGAGAACAGGTGCGTTCTGCCTTTCTTACTTTCCACTGTCAAGGTTCCTGACACTGCCACTGGAGGGCAGGTAGGGCCAGATCCTGAAGGGGGGTCAGGGGCAGGAAAGGGCTTCAGGTAGAGTGGGGCAGAGCAAGTTGAGAGTCAGAGCTGAGTTGCATTGGTGTCACAGGGAGTATGTGAAGGTTGGAAGACTTAAGGAAAGCAATTGGAGGTATGGGACTTGAGTTCACAAGAGAAATCTAGGCTGAGAAGAGGAGGGACTGCACAAAAGGGACATTTGAGGGACAAGAGCATCAGCAGCAGGAGAGGTAAACAGACATATATGAGGGAGGGGCTTCAGGAGGCCCAGGGAGAGGAGAGCTGAGAACAGTGGGGTCAGCACTGGGCGCTCCAGGGAGGTAAGGGCTCAGAGGTATCAGGTCTGGCAGCCGGGTGGTGAGGGAGGAGATGGATACAGCCTGCTCTCACCAGAAGCTTGACTGGGAAGGAAAGGAGAGACTAAGCTGGAGTGGAGTATCGTGTGCTGTGTTTGGGGGTTTGGGGGCCTGTCTGTAATGGCAGAGAGGGTGCACTAGAGATGCAGGAGAGTTCAGGTCCCCAGGAGCTGAGATCCAGGATCAAGGGTAGGGGAATGCAAACTGAGGGCCAGGGTCTGAGAGAAGAGGAGGCTCTTTCCTGACACCTGTTTCTGGAGGACAGTGAGAGGCGTGAAGCAGTAAGCTAGTGCGGGGAACCAGAGAGGGTGCTGGTGAGACGTGAGAGAAGGGCTGCCAGGTGGCTCTGAGGGCTGCAAGCAGGGCAGTCTGATTTTTTCCCCTTTGCAGTTGGTGTGCAAGAGTGGAGAAGCACGCTGTCAGACTGGCTTCTTGTGGGGGTTTTGCCTGATAGCTGATACAGGAGCACAGGAGAGATGGGAGCTGAGGCTTGGAGGGATGGATCCAGGCTGAGCAGACAAGTAAAGCCATGAAGGGCTGGTAGGTGAGGGGAGGTGGCATCACAGCAGGTGGGAGGAGGGCAGTGAATGGCTCCAGGACAACTGTGAGACAGTGAGGTGTTTGTGTGTCCTCAGCGTAGAGCAGTTTCCTGGGATGATGGGGTGTAGATAAAGCATTAGAGATGTAAAGGCTTCTAAAGTTGGAGAGCTTTGAGCCTGGTCTGCCTACTTGACGCTGGAATGCCCTGCACAGAGGGCAGCTAAGAGAAGGAGGCCAAGAGCTGGAATAGGGGTGGGGGCCTGGGAGAGACCCTAGCAGGAGGGTGATGGGGAGAGCACATTGCTTTCTGTCCTGGAGGAAGGGTGCATTCAGGGAGCGAATGAGGGGCGGGGGGTGTTCTTTGTCACAAACAAGTTCCAGAGCAAGAAAAGAGGTGGGAGTTGGGGGTGAAGTAAGGAAAAAGCAGGGCAGCAAAGTAAGGAAATGTGGGGGATTAGTGACTGTGGCCACCCCAGTCGGTGACACCAACACCACCAGCCATCCACAGAATTGGGAATCATCCTACCGCTGAGGCCTCTGGTGCGGAGGTGAGCATCCTCAGCCCAGGGTTCCAGACAGTCTTGAAGCTGTGTCTCCCAGGCCTCCGGCAGATTCTTAGGGGTGGGGTTGAGTATTTCCCTGGCTTCTCCCCCAGGATGAATGGGAGGACTGAGCCTCTCATTAGGAAGTCAGACTTGACTTGGACTTGAGAGAAGGGTCCCAGCATAACAAGAGGCAGTTCATCCTCTGTCTCAGAATGCATCCCACTCCAGGCCTACTGTCATGTCCAGGCCCCACGCTGCCCCTTGTGGCTATCATAGGTGGATGGCCTCAGGGATATCTCCCAACCGCCCCCACTTCCTTCCACGTTCTCCCTCAGAGCACCTGCTACCATGCCTGACTCACCAGCCCAGATGCCTAGGCTGTCCCACTGGCCCTGCTCCTCTACCCAAATACCTTGCAAGCTGAGCCACACGCTTAGCCACCTGGATGAGCCCTCCCTGCCCACACACAGGTCATCTTTCCTTCCCTGTCCTGCTGCCATGTTTTCTGCCTGACTGGCTGCCCCATGTCCCCAGCACCCTGAGCATCTTAACAGGCAGCAACCGTGTCCTGTAATTTCTGTGTTTTTCTCACCTCCAGACCCCACAAACCTTGAGGGCTGGAGTGGGGCCACTAGGTGTTGAAGAATCTGTCATTCTTCTGCATCCTGTCTGGGGACTGGTGGTCTCTGAGGCTGAGGAGCTACCTGAATAGCACATGCTCTGAATTTCACTCTGGGGAAACTTCCTGAGAGGATTGTGCATTTCTTGGTCTCGTGGAGATTCTCAAGCCTGGGACTGAGCACCTCACTGCTCCTCCTTCCTGCCCATTGGCCTGTTCTTGACCAGTCTGCAGGGCTGGAGCCTCCTTACTCTTCTTTGTTCCTGGTCTCACTCCCAGGAAACAGATGTGGAATTGCTCAGACTAGAGGGGAAGAACTGAAACACAACAGTGCAGCCACCCTGTCCTGTGGCATAGTGACTAAGGCCCAGCCAGGCTGAGCCCTGGGTCCTTGAACTGGAGCCAAGGGGTAGGGGAGAGTAGGCAGGCTGGACTGGGCAGGGGTCATGGGAGTGGGCAGGCATCATGGTGAGCACCAACCTCCCTCTGCACAGGGCTGCCTCTTGCTGCATGTTGCCCCACCAAAACCCCACCGCTGGACTGGAATTCTCTGTTCATTGCTTGGGTCTGTGCCCCCCACCATCAGGTCACCTCATCTGGTGGAATCCACCCCATCTTCATCCTCTGTGGTCAGCCTCAGCCCAGCCCTCCTTCTGCCCCCACTTCTGGACTCTGCCCTCCTTCCTCCATGGCCACGAGGGGGATTTTTCTAAAATGCAGATCTAATCATGTCACTTTCTGCTTAGGCTCTTCTCCTCCTGCTCCCTCTTGTGTGGGGGTGATGTCCAGTCTCCTAGTGCAGGTGGCATGCAAGGCTGCTGGCCCCCTCTCATCCCACCATCAGCCACTCCGTGTCGTCTGCCTGAAGCTCCACAGTTTGCCATGCCTTCCCTTATGCTTTTGTCCCCACCCCCATCTTTATGTACTCAGGGTAGCATTGCCCCTTCTGTGGTGCTCATGCAGAGTCAGAGCCCTGCCTTGGTAGTCACCAGCACCCTGCCTGGTCTGACTGTGTGTGCTGTCATCATTGGTCTTGAGAGCCATCTTTTACTCTCATATCCCTGGTGCCCTGCCCAGAAAAGGCAACTGAATAGAAGTTTGTCAGATGAATGGAAGTTTGGGGCAAGGGGAGCTGTAATGGAGTGCTGGGCCCTCTGGGAGAGGCAGCCTGTAAGGGAGACATGGCACCCATTGTTGTCAGGTGGTTAAGATGGAATCGCCCAGGCTTAAATGTGAAGGTCTGTTTGTCACATGAAAGCAAGTTTGTTTTCAAATCCAATTGTTTGGGAAAATCATGTTCCCCACATAAGACGTGAGGAAGGCAGAGGTCTCATGACTCGTTGGACCCAGGGTGGTGTTCTGAGACAGCAGCGTGGCATTGAGAAGCCAGCCAGTGAACTGGCTGAAGAGGGAAGGTGGGCGGGGCTGACCACCCTGTGTGGCCTGTGCTCCTGAGGTGGGAGCAGGATAGAGGACACTATGGCCTCTGTGATCACTCTGAAGGCTGACAGATCAGGGTTGGTTCTCCCTGTGCTGGGGACCCTCAGGTGCCTCTCTGTATCTCCTTTCCCTCATCTGTGAAGTGTAATGAATCCCTGTGCCACGAGACTGTCCTCAGGATTGGAGGAGATGGGAATGAGAGGCTAAATCACCTGGTGGTGGAATTTGTGTTCAGCAGTCCTTGAAGGAGGGTGCAGGAGGGGTCCTGCTTAACCAGTGGCGTGGTCCTGGCTGTCTTTTGCCCCACTGTCCATAGTGAGGTCTTGTCCTTCCTCGCACATCCTCTTTCTCCTCCTGTCTGTTCCTGGTTGGAAATCCGCTTGTAGGGCTGCACACCTGATGGAGCAGAGCTGACAGGTTCGGGGGTGGGGCTGGGCTCTTTCCACCCCAGCTGGCCACCTCCCTCTTCCTGTGGGCACACTTTGGGGGTTCACCCAAATTTGGGGGGAGGGCAGAGTTGAGGTTTATTTGAGCTCCTATAGGGTTTTCTTGGTCAAAACATCATCTCACAGGAACTCCACTCCTCAGAAAGGCTGCTTTTGCCCAGGGCCTGCGTGTCTGCAGGCCAGGAGCCGCTGAAGGGGCTGCTAACACTTCAGCCCTCTCTAGAGACTGATGTGAACTTGCTCTTGGCAGACCCAGGACCATGTATTCGGGCTGGAGGGTGCACTGGTCATCACCACAGGACGGGAAGCTGGAGGGAGCTGTCACTGGCACAGCAAGATAACATTTCAGGGAAGTAGATGTCACTCATTTCCACTTAGGTTTTTATTTTTCTTTCAAAGAAATACTTGCTTTCCATTAGGTAGCCTAAACTCTCAAAACTGGTATAGTGTGTGTGTGTGGGAAAGGAACACGAGGGTCACTGGAAGGGGCTTACGGGGTCAGAAAGCAGCAGGACAGGCAGGAAGGGGAGGTAGGTCCCTCAAAGAGGCCATTTGAAGGGGTCATTCCAAAGGGAGCAGGGGACCTTCGTGGGGCTGTGTGAGAGAACCTAGGTGGCAGCCTCCTGTGGCTGTGCCTCCCCCTTACGGAGGGGGCATGCTCAGGCTCCTCCACAGGACTGGTGGGGCATTAACTCACCAGACCCCATCACTCCACAGACATCCCAGAGCCAGTGCCAGGCCAGGGGACCCCAAGGAGCAGTAATGGTAAGAGGCTCTTGGGACATCTGAGCTGCTCTGGCGTGCCAGGCTGGACTGAGTGCTTTCTATAAACAGTCTCAGTTAATCCTCACAATTGGCTTTTAAGCACATCCGTTGGATCACATCCCTTCCCTGAGCCCCACTGCACTTAGAGTAAAATGCAGACTCCTCCCTATGCACGATCCAGCCCGTGGTTGTTTCCACTGTTCTTGCCTCGCACACTGTGGTCTGGCCACACTGGATGCCCTTCTCTTCCTGGAGCACACCAGCCCTGTTCCTACCTCAGGGCCTTTGCACTCATTCTTCTCTTTGTCCAGGGTGGCTTTTCCTCAGCTCTTCCATCTGCTTCCTTATCGCTTCAGCTCAAGTTGGGAGAGGTCCACCCTGATGATCCCAGCTAAAGTAGCCACCGCCCTCCAGACATGCAGTGTGGTGTCCCTATCTGATCACTGTCTGCAATTCTTGTGAGTTTAACGGGGTGTTAAGAGGAATTTTTCCTGTTTTCCCAGAATTGCAGGTTAGGCCCAAAGCTGAGGACAAAAAACACAAAGTTCATTCCTACATTCCAAATTGAGGGAGCTGCAGGCGGGTGGGGCCAGCCTTCTCCCACAGGGCTGGTGGAGAGATGCCACTACAGAGAGCCAGCCCTGCCCCCACCCCCAATCTTCCACAGTGAACTTGAGACTAGGGGTGTGTGTGTGTTTGTGTATGTGTGTGTGTGTGTGTGTGTGT